CCATGCCTTATTTACCTTGTGAGTGGATTATTGAAATAAGCTGTGCACGGTCCCTTGAAGACCACTCAGAAACTACAACTTATCCAAAATGCAGCAGTATAAACAATTATACTCCAGACATGATGAAAGCAGCCATATGCATTCTTAAACAGATGAATGATGGGCATAACTTGATATGCACATATAACCCTCTCTGCAAATTACTCCATTCAATGTGTTTTCATCTACAATTGTCTTTCATGGGATACAGCCTGCTTATCTGAGGCACCATTCTCCCCCCCCCCTCGCCCATTCTTTTGGCCTCTATGATCTCACTTCATGCATCATCTCTGAATCAGTGCCATCTGATGGTGATTAGGAAGTAGGGCTTCCCTGTTGCAGTGCTGCCATCTGGAACAGCATACCCTTGGAGGTTTGAACAGCTCCAGCACTGCTATCGTTTAAACAAGACTTGAATACCTGGTTTTTCCCTCAGGTCCTGAGACGGTTTGAGGCATGTGCCTACCTGGATTGAGCTGTATTGAGATTTTACATTATGAATTTCTGTTCCCTCTCTTTTGATTAATTTATTTAGAGCCAGCATTCCTGTCGAGATATGATGTCTTAGAAATTTGAATTATAAATATTCTGGACTTTGGAAATAGTTTTAATCATAGATTTGGAAATATTAATTGCATGTTGAAATATGGGTAATACTATGCAGCTCATCTTAATTTTCATTTATAATTGCATGGTTTATGTTTTTAAATTTACTATTTAATACTTTTGTAAGTCTCTTTGCAAAAAGTATTGAAACAATTAATTAATGTCAGGTGTAGCTTCCTAAGGCCTTACCGTATACTTGAAATGAAAATAGTATTCATGAATCTGTAGAAGTGATTTACATATAACTTCTCAAATCAGTTAAATTCTTCAGATTCTAATATATATTTTTAACCATCTGGCAGTTCTGTTCCCAAATATTTCTTTAACAATCATGTCTCTAGAAATTGCAAGACAAGGTGAACTGTTGTATTTTAGAGTTTTTAATTATATTTCTCTGATAAATCATGTACTTATTAATTGGGAGGGAAAACATTCTTACTGAACCTTAGGTTGCCACACCTGACAAAAATGAGGTTTTATTCACAGATGGTGATCTTTTGGATGAATTGCTTGGGAAATTAAATTTTCTTTAGACCATACAATTACAAAAGGTTTTGATTGGTTTAAATGGGAAGCTTGAAATCTCTCAGAGATTCAAGGGCTATTTTCTCTGACAATTAGCCTTACTTCACATTGGTGTTGGAAGAATCTAACATAAGGACAGTTTTACACATCACTTAGCTTATAATAATCTATGATTATATACAATAAAAGTGACAGACTGATACATAGTGATATCATTACATATACATTAAGAAAAACTTTGTAATCACTTCTGATTCTCTGAACATCCCTGTTTGTCATATTGATATTAGTATCTAGAAATGTATACTATTTATAAGAAACTTATGAGAATTTGAAAATGCTTGTCAATCAAAAAGCGGTAAAATGAAAACTGAATGTAATTTTTTATTGAAAAGAGATTCTTTTAGTGTAAAAAAAAGAAATATAGCAGCAGCACAAAAAATGTTGGCCATATTTACAAATATCTGTAGAAACTCAAATTATAGTTAAAACAAATACTTCATAAAATGTTCTGTATTTTAGTCCATCTTTTTTGTTTATCGTTTAAGTCCATATCAAAATACTCTGAACTGATGCAGTTATTTAAACCCACCACCCATAAATTGTGAATCTTCCAAGATGGGTAATTTTGACAATTAGTGCAAAGTTTATTCTTTAGTGTATACCAGCAGAGATGGCAGTTTGGAAACAGATTAAGCTTTGTATCTCCTAGTCACCCTCATTGTATTCCTGCTCTTGACATGATTTGAAACAGCTGTGTATTTTCTTGATATTCTTTTCCATTATTGTGTGTTTTGCTATAGGCTGCTTAACATTCATCTCAAACCGCCTTTGCAAGGTTAAAGGAATGTAGCTTGGTAACAAGTTTGTGTCATTTTAAATATATACCTCCTAGTAAATAAGGAGGAGTCTAACAATCAATCCCTTTTAGTGTGTTATATGTTTCACCTGACAACTAAACTCCTATTGATTAGCCATTACTTTGTTAGATAATCCTGTGTCATTGAAGCCACTGTAAAAATTAAACTCTTTAAAATGTTTTACCCTAGCAGCAGTGTGAAATTGAAAACTTGTTCAGAATTATAGCAAGCTTTCACCAAAAGGATAGCTTTCAACAAACTGGTTTATGCTTGCATTCTTTATATGCAGTATAAAACTATATTGAAGTACTTCAAGGCTATCTACCTCTGGCACAGAATCAGGCAAGTATTTCAAACACTGTTTCTAATGGCCCAGAAATGTTTTCTTTTGGTGTTTGGGGAAGAGATACTTGAATAATTCAGTTTCCGAGCTTGAAGAATCAGAAGGCGTTATATAGTAAATTATTAGTCACCAGTTTAGTTTCCTACAGTATATACAGATCTGAATCCATGCTGGAAAGGATCTTGATAATCTAGGATCCCTTGAAATTGGAGTTGTGTCATCTTCTCTAAAAATTCTCTGAAAAGAAATATTAGAGATAGGGAGGAAGTTGTCTAACACAGTGACACCAAAACCTGGCTTCTTTAAGAGAGGGTGCATTATTGTTTCCCTTAAATTGTTATTCACAATCTCCCAAACTGACCACCACTACCCTGAAATACCCAAAGAAGCCAGGAGGGACAGAGATCCAATTCACAGGTAACAGATTTTATGCTGCTGAGAATACATGCTAAAGCAGACATCTCAAACTTGTGATGTTACGTGACATTGTGCGATGTATCGGAACTATTTTGCCATTGCCAGCAATGGGGTGGGTGCGGCTTCTGTGTGATGCGTCTGGCCTCTGGGCTGGCAATTTGACACCCCTGTGCGAAAGGAAAAATGGAAAATCAAATGAAACCCCCAAATTAAAATATTATTTTAAAATGTGTGTCTGCATGCTTGCCTTTTAAGTCAGTGTTGACTCCTGGCAATTGTCTAGACAAGTCCCTACAATTTTCTTAGCAAGGTTCTTTGGATTAGTTTGCCATTATCATCAATAAGGAAAAGCAGAAATAGTTTTTTTTTGTTGTTTAAAAGGAAACAGGAAGAAATGAAGTCCATTGTGGGATGACTTTAAATGGACTGTGCACTTAGTTTCTTAATTTGGATGTTCAGCAGATAGATTCTCTTTGTAGCTGCTGGGTTTTGCTGCTTTGAATGAGAGGCGATATGCTCTATTTTGTTTTTGCTTACATACATGATAATTGATTGTATTTTTCTGTAACTAATTGGCTTAACATTTTTAAATGAAAAGATGTCTTCAAAGTAAGTAAATAATAGAGGGAGGAGTTGTAAAAAAGCATCTAAATGAAAATAGAGAATGTCTTCTTCCATCTTTATTTTCAGTGAACATTGAAGATACATGTGTTTAGGTTAGTGGAAAGTATTTGTGCCTTAAACAAACAAACGAACAAAAATTAGGCCTGGGTCTTTCTTTAAACCCCTACTTAAAGAAAATCTGTGGAAAATCTAGAGAATTTGGGGCTATAAAATTTATCACTATCATCCATTCTGATGAAACAATTGTCCAAATAGTCATTCAAACAAATACAATATCATTTCAAAAAGATGTTGCCTTTTTAGTGTCTAATTTTTTTTTTGGTTTTTTAAAGATGAGAGCAAACTAAGAACTTTATTTTAATATTGGATACCTTTTGCTTCATCAATAAACTACTCAGTTTATATTATTTATTTATTTATATTCCCCCTTTATTATTTTTACAAACAATTGAACTCTGTGAACATGTCCAACACACCTTCCTTCTCCTGTGCCTGACCATATAGTTTGTATGAACACATTTTGTGTTCTGTATTCAGACTCATTGTCCATAATCTTAGACCTCAATCATTAGAACACCAGTCCTATATCATGTGCAGTGCAACGTCCTGGTTAAGGATATGAAAGGAATACAGGTGGTCTTTATTTAGGAACCATTTGTTCAGTGACCATTCAAAGTCATGACAGTGCTGAACAAGGGGGATTTAGGGCCAGTCGTAATTGCAGCCACTGCAGCTCCCCATAGTCTCATGACCATAATTCTGGTGCTTGGCAACTGGCTCGCAATTATGACATTGCAGCATCCTGCAGTAATGTTCTCACCATTTGCAAACTTGGCTGCTGCCATCTGACGAACAAAATCAAGGGGAAATCAGCAAGAAGTGACAAACGGCGATCATGTGACTGTGAGATATTGTGACTGTGCAGGATTCACCTAAAAGTGGCAGCCTGGGACTGCCAAAATGGCTGTCGTAAGTTGCAGTGATCACAGGACATCTCACTACACGACCATGCTATTTAGACAAAGAGTTCTCAAGTTTCAATTACCAATGGTAATTGAGGACTACTGTGGGTAAGCTGAAGTATATTTTGGCATCAAATATCTTTAAGATAAGAGCCGTGGTGGCACAGTGGTTAGAATGCCTATAGCCAGGAGTTCGATCCTGATTGGCTTAACTCAGCCTTCCACCCTTCTGAGGTTAGTAAAATGGCCCAGATTGTTGGAGGCAATTACTGTGCTGACATTGTAAGCCGTTCAAGAGTGCTGTAAAACACTATGGCCCGGTATTTAAGTCTAAGTGCTAAGTGACCATGGCCCAATATCATCTGTAATCTTTCATACTTGAGGATTGATATGAACTTTGTTTAGCACCTTAAACACTGTTCCAGTTAAATTCTTTAATCACTAAATCACGCTGTTTTAGAGGTATTTTGTGCATTTTTTCTGAGTTTTTAATTCAAAACAAATTTGCAAATAATATTTCACAACATTTTATTGTAAGGCCCTTCAAGGAATACATACTTTTCAAGAAATACATGCTTAATATGTTGTATCTTTATTTTTGTCACTTTTTCCCTATCTTTACAGACCTATAACAGCTGTACCAGACTTTGCTTAAATCAAGACACAGTCTGCTTAGGTACTACAATGAAGACTGAAAGCTGTGTGACTAAAGTAAGTAAAACTTTGACTGTGTACCCTTGGGGGCATTTGGCATCCTACCTATAATTCCTTGGCTTTGATGCCCTTTTTAAGCATTAGTTCTAAGAATATTCCCCTCTTCATTTCAGAAAGCTGAAAAATAAAGAGATGAAAAGCCCAAGTGTATTTAAAATATTTTGTGGGCCAGTTTAACAAAATATATCCTAGATGTTCTACGTGGTGCAATTTAGCATGGGTCATATTTTTTATGTGTTGGTTTCATTTATTTTTCTCCTACCTTCTTGTAAAGAAAGTACCCATGCTTGATTTAAACAGGTAATCCTAGAATCTAAATGCCTCTATCATCTTCTATTTTCTAAAGTAAAGTTTGTATATAGAAGTTTAAATGGTGAGCATGTCATACTCTCATACCCCCTCTGCTGGCCACCATCATATAATAAAAACAGATTTACTTGTATTCCCTTCCCTTTGGAGATTTCTGTTAATAAGATAAAGGGAAAGTTAGAAGAATTCTATGATGTTAAAATTGCCATATATTGCTAAATGGGTAATGTGTCCTTTTATATTTCCATTTCAGAAGAAGCATTCTAGACAAAACGTGTACCTTGTCTTAGCTTTCCTTGTAACCAAATATAACTGTTGTAAAATAAGAACCAGGTCTAAGGAATTATGAATGACTGTAATGTGGATGCACTTTCCTCTTGCTTGAGCTTTATGTTTCCATTAGAAGAAAGTTTAGGGTAGCTCTGCAAGATTCAGTACATACAGCTCTAGGTTAGCATTTATAGATGCTCCCCACCTCTTCTAACCACAAGGCAAATTTTGATAGGAAAATTAGCACCTTATTAAATAGAATTTATTTTTGTAATGTATGTCTTCCATAATGAGCATGTTAAATCTGTATAAACCTCCTAGGAAAGATCTCTTAAACATAACTGGAAAAGGTAGTTCTTGTTACCAGCAGCTTCATTATCCATAGTTTCACTTATCTACAGTTGGTAATTACATGATGAGGCTCTATCTGAGCATTAGAGAAATGATTCCATCTTCTACAAATGGGGGATTCTTTCTTGTAATTACCACAGTATTACCTTCTGCTTGAAAATTCCCTCTAAAAATTTGGTTTTAGTTTCACCCTGGGAGTATGAGAAAGCTGGGCAATATGCAGTTTGTTCAGCAGTAGGTTTTTCTGTTCAGAGCTCATTGGCTTGACCGGAACTTGCAAGTAGCTGGTAGAGAAACAGGAGGCAAATATGATAGGGGTTTGGGGTTTTTTTGCAGCACCTATGAAAGTGTACTTATAGAAATTAGACCTCTGTTCATTCTGCTTAAAATCTTTGGGACCATCCATGAGAAAAAAAGCGAATAATAACAAAAATAATGAGCAAACCCTGGTGTCAAATTAAATATATGTTCTTTTCTAGCACTGTATCACTAAGATTTTTATAGTTGGCTGCGTGTTTTGTGTGTATAAATTAATTGGTTTTGCTAGATTTTGCGAAGGATTACACTGTGTGTGTAACATATATGACTCAAAATACCATATATTTTTGAATACTAAATGAACAAATTTGCACAGTTTAGGAAATACGAATATACACATAGACAGGGTCTTTTTGTATTATTCTATTCAAATGGAAACGTAAAGCTTTTATATAAAGCTTTGTTCAGAAGAAGCTATTCTGTATTAACAGAAGACTTCTCCTGCAGACATTGTAGGTTGCATAGAGGAAGAGCCTTTGGGGGTCAGTGATAGTCCAATTGGGATTACACCCTCTTGTCTTGCTGCTGGAGATTTAAAGCTTATTTTGCTGACTGCCAAAAGGACTAGACGTTTCATTTTGGCAATCTATTATCCTTTTCTTCCTCCTCCACCTCCTCTATCCAGAAGGTTAGGTATGCTTTGATGGATATAGAGGTGGCTGTGCTTCTATTGCAGTAACTAACCATTATTATTATTATTATTTTTGAAATCTGGAAATGAAAAAAACCTACCACCTTTAGCTTTGAAAAGAAAAGTTCAGCAAGCAAATTGGATGGAGGATTTGAAGGGACGGATCTTCCTGGACATTTGGATGTTCTCCAGCAGTATTGCTGGCTTTCTCAGTATATAGAGAGTTTATAATAACTGTGGAGTCCTTGAGAACAATTGGGGCTGAAATTTCTGTTGCTAAACAATTCAGTTTTAAAGCACGACTTCATATGATTACATCCCATTGCTTTTGTTAAGCAAGAATTGTGGATCCTGAAGCAAAAACCTCACACCTTCCTGCTAGCTACCAACAAGCAAAGTGACTGGGGAAGCTGACAGGAAATCCCAGGCATCTTGCAAGCAGGTTGGTGGGTGATTTAGGGCTGCTGCCAGATGTGCGATGGTATATATCTTGGTGATGGGCTGGTGTAGCATAGTGTGAGTGTGGAAAGCTTGGGCTGGTTTGAAGGTGCAGGAAGGTCCAGTGTAAGCATTGTGTGATTTGGAGTGCCTGCTGCAGCAGGCAGGAGGATATATGAGGGGGAAGCCAGGAAGGAAGAGTGTGAATGGGGATCACATGACTGCAGGATACTGCAACCACCATAAGTTAAACTGGTGGACAAGTGTCCAGTTTGCAATCATGTGATTATGGGGATGCTGAGATGACCAGAAGTTTGAGCACTAGTCTTAAGTACCACTCATTTAGCACCATTGTAACTTCAAATGGCCAGTGAACAAGTGGTCATTAATCAAGGACTACCTGTATGAATATTATAATGCTATATAACAGGGGTGTCAAACTCATCGTGTCATGTGACGTCGTGACATATCGCAACTGTTTTCCCCTTGCCAGAGCTGGGGTAGTGTAGCTTCTGTGTGACGCATCCGGCCCAAGGGCCGGCAGTTTGACACTCCTGCTATATAAGGAAGAACTAAATTGCTATGTGTTTTGTAAGAGCTCAGAAACAAACTACCATAGCTTGTGAAAGCTATGTCAACTTCAGATGGGTTTTAAGCTGGTTTCTAATAATTGATGTGTACCTACAAATTGCTAAAAAAAATCCAGCATATTTGGAACATAGATCTCCATCAACTATAGAATGGTACAACCGATCTGACCAGGAATGTGAACAAGTATTTTAATAAGGTTTGTTTAACTGTTGTCTCATTTCTAGTATTTGAGTTATTGATAGGTAATTCTAAGATTAGTCCAATAAGTTTAGTGAGACATCTTCACAACTTTTACTTGAGCTCAAGGACATTAATGTATTGCTTTAATGAGGCTTATTGAAAGTCAGCCAGGCTAGCAGCTGTTCTCTTGTTTTGTAAGCTGTACTTTCTAAGTATATACTATGTGGGCAATAGAGAGGACTTTGCAATACAAGGGTGCTAAAATACATATTAATGTCTTGCCCCCTCCCATTTCGAGGTGCAGAATATTCAAAAAAGAAAGTTCCAGGAATCACAAGAATCCTGAGACAGAAATAAATTTATTTCCATAGTGGTTTGAGTTTCTTTAGGACTAAAGCTATTGCTCCCTGCCTATTCAATTGTCCTGTTCTGATTTGGGAAATTATGATTTGTTTCAGTGGTATTTCTCCTAGTTGCTGTTTCAAAGGAGCTAGGAGATCAAATGATATTCCTATCTAGATTTTTTTTTTTTTACATATTGGTAGACTACATGCACCCTGTATAACTGCACAATCTCTACAAACTCTATAGTGAGCAATTAGTTGGCTTAGGAAATAAAAAGATATAATAGAATAGTTTAGGATAGGGTGTACAGTATTTGAAAATTTTAAGTTTGTGAAATGCATTAATGATCTTGAATCAAAAACCTTAATTTTGCACATGAGATTTGTTGAGCATCTCTGTTCCTATTGGGAACCTCTCTAAAGGCGTTCTGTCAATACAGTTATAGTGAAAGACCATTTATGCATTGTGACCTTTCTTATTCAATACTATTTCTCATTGCTTTTTCTATCAGTTTAGTAGACTCTGCACTTCATCCACATTAATGTTTTCTTTGTAATGATGGTTGAACACATGGCTAATGCTGCCTTCTAGGAATTGTTGCATTTCTATTTTGCCCAGATTTGGGGTTTGAATAGAGGAATTAAAAATCTATGTTCCTTATACATCTTTCCTCTTGAAAAAGAATGTCAATAAATATTTTAGAGTGAAAATGCACATTTATTAACTGAAAATAAGTCTAAAGGAGAAGTATGAAATTTACTCAAATATTCTACAACCCTGAGACACAATTAGTATATTGAACAATTTTTTATTATTTTTATGAGGTCAACATCACAAGATTATTCTGTACTAATCTGAAATACTTTTCACTTTCTTCTTCACTCATAGCATTTGTCAAAATTATTTGAAAATGGGTTGAAGCAAAAATATTGACATTCTTGTACCCTTTACCCAAATCTCATTTTTTCCAGATTTTGATAGATGACATATTTTATTTATTTCCAAAATTATATCCACAGGAAACAAGCTGTTTAAATTCAGATTATGCTGAATCAAAATAGTGCTGGTGTGAGAAGCAACGTGCTGTTTTATGAGCGTGGAGTCCCTTTTCTCATAACTGATTGATAGTAAATATTTTCCTGAAGAGTTATTGCCAGCTATGAACAGTGCAACTGTTTCACTGGTGTTTTTTTTTTTCCTTAGTACTTGCTGTACCAGCCATTGTCTGTAATTAAGATCTACAATTCACAATGCAGACGTTTGCACTTCCTCTGGGTCTGAGCTATTTATAAGATATTTCAGCTGTTCCGAGTTTCTTTTTGAGTGTTAAACTACATTTTAACAGGCATATTTAGTCTCCGTGATACCCACACAGCATACCAAATGCCTTTATTTGTGTTTTGGAAGCTTCTTTTTGTATGTTGGATTCATATGAATTAAATAATGGTATATCTTTTTATTTCCACAAATTATGGTGTCTCTGCAATTCTCCTTTTAGACAGGGTCATTTTAAATTCAGGGTCTGATAGTTATAGTCAGTAATATTTGTACTGAATTAACAAAT